ATATATACACACACATATATATACACACATATACATACATATACATACATATATATACATACATATATATACATATATATATACATATATATATATGATTCCTGGTGTGGTGTTGCAGGATAAGCACTGGACTGTTAACAGCAAGATTGCAGTTCAAACCTACCAGGTGCTCCCCAGAAGCCCTATAGAGGGTCGCTGTGAGTTGGAACTGACTTGACTGTACTTAACAAATATATACACATTATTCATCTTTATTTTAGGTTTTGACTTTGTTCCTGAATCACTTGTGTTGTTTTCTTAAAAGAGAAACCAAAAGGGGAAAAAAAAACCCAAAACAAACTAACAACAAAACAAAAACAAAGGATAAATAGGAAAACCTCTGATAAAGGAATCTAAGCTAAATGTAACTAGAGAAAAGGCTAAATGCTAAGCTTAATATTTGCTTTTCATGGGGGTGGTACATAAGCTGGTATAAGTAATTTGGTCAGTAAGAAAATGTAGTGGAAACTATTCCTTGCCACTGGCTTTTGAAAGGATGAATTTTATAATCCTTTACACCCACCAACTGACGACTCAGAAAGTTGGAATGCTGCCCTCTACTTTGTTATCAGTTAATTCTCAGCCTAACATTTCTGCCCTTACAGGACTCCAAAAATAAAACGTTGGTGCAATCAAGATCTCAAACAATAGAAAATTAATTGTAACTATATTTCACAGTCATGTACAGTCATAAAAAGACAGCTAACACAGTAACAGGTATAGTTATTTTATGGTGAATAATAAACATTTAAAGAAAGGAAAAAAAAAGAAATCTGCCATAGCTCACGAAGTCTCGGTTCTTTCACAGTTTCTTTTACTTCCTCCTGGCTACTAACGTAATACAGTTTTACTATAAAAATATTTCAAAACCTGAAAATCAGAAGACTATAAATATCCATAATTTCAGCCATCCAAGAAATAATTAAAATCTTGGTATGTTTCCATATCGTCTTCTGTTTATGTACCATTCCCTCTTATAAAAATAATTATTGTAACTATTCTATAATCTACCATCAACAAATTACAATACTATTAGGATTCATTGTAAGACATAAAAGTGCAAAAATGTGTCACGTGTGCCAGATGCACTCACATACAAATGAGGGAAATGTACAATTTCAAAAGCTAGAAATAAAGTCTTCTGTTTTGAAAAATCAGTGAATAAAGTTAAGTGATATTTATTTACAACCAAAGTGTTTTTTCTAGTTTCTTCTATCTTACATTATTTACCTTTGGTCAAACTGTATAGTATCTGCTTGTTGTTGTTGTTAAGTGCCATCGAGTCGGGTCTGACCCATAGCGACCCTGTACAGGGTTTCCAAGGGTGTAAATCTTTACGGGAGTAGAAAGCCTCATCTTTCTCCCGCGGAGCGGCTGGTAGTTTCGAACCGCTGACCTTAAGGTTCGCAGCCCGATTCGTAACCACTACGCTACCAGAGTTCCTTATAGTATCTGCTTAGGAGGTAGATTTTCTAGTAATATCAATATTTTCATAGCATAAAATCAGAGGACTATAAATAGGATTAAAAATTGAACACTGGACTCAATAAAATACAGTCATGATTATTGTGCAAAGTTGCTGATTCAATAGTGTTTTGAATCTCTGCCCCTCATAGTTTTAAAGAACAAAAGGGAACAGGAAAGGAACCTATCCACTGAGACATTCTAAAAGAGCAGATCATTACGTCCTTATTATGGGATTCTCTGATTCTACACCTGAGCAATCTTACAAGCGAAAGTCTCACCTTTAATTGCGCTCCTACATGGATATAGTTGTAAGATGAAAGGGATTTCTGGAGATGAAGAGACCGCAGAAGCTGCTCGGAACCTCCCTGAAGTAGCTGAAAAATATTTAATTAAAAATAAACTGGCAACGTATATACTAAAATAAAATAGTTTAACTTATTAGTAAGATAATTTTTATTTTCTGTGCTTGTTTTATTTAGGTTTCTTATCTAGGGATCCTGGCACAGTGCTGTAGAACAAACATTTAACTGCAAAGTTGGTTTGAACCACAAGGCCATGGTTCAAACTCACCAGCTGCTCTCAGAAACCCTATAGAGGGTTGCTATGAGTCAGAACTGACTCCACAGCACTTGACAACAACAACAACATTTTAAGAGCTGGAGTCCCGGTAAGGCACTGTAGGATAAGCACAAGGCTGCTAACCGCAAGGTATGCAGTTTAAACCCCCCAGCTGCTCCTTTGGAAGCCTATAGAGAGGTGCTAGGAGTTGGAACTGACCTGACGGCACTCAACAATTCTGAATTCTGCTGTGGTGCTGTAAATAAGCACTGGGCTGGCAAGTGCAAGGCCAGCCGCTCAAACCCACCAGCCGTTCTCAGAAACCCTATACGGGTCGCTATGAGTCTAAATAATTGGATGGCACACAACAACAAAATTCTAAGCTTAAGGAGCCGTGGTGGCACAGTGATTAAGTGCTCAGCTCCTAACCCAAAGGTTGGTAGTTCAAACCAACCAGCTGCACCATGGAGAAAGATGTGGCAATCTGCTTCTATCAAGATTTGTTGTTAAGTGCCACTGAATAGGTTCTGACTCATAGTGACCCTATAGGAGCGGCTGGTGGGTTTGAACCACCAACCTTTTGGTTCAAACTGACCATGCAGTCCAGCGCATTATCCTGCAGTACCCTGGAAACCGTATTGGGCCATTCTATTCCGTCCTAAAGAGTTGCTAGGATTCAGAAATGACTTGACAGCAATGGTTTTGAGTTTTGGGTTTATTCCTCACTGATTCCCTAGGTGGTATAAACGTTAAGCACATGACTACTAGCCAAAAGGTTGGCAGTTGAAACCTACCCAGAGGCAATGAGAAGGGCTTTGTGATCTGCCTTTGAAAGGCCCCAATCTGGAAAGCCTTATGAAGCTGCTCTACTCTGCATACAGGAGTCCCATGACTTAGAACTGACTTAGAACCCCAACAACAGTCGGAGCTGTGCGTGATTTTCACCGTCCCCAGTTACGGAGAATGCATGCGTCGTGGAGGAATGGCATACACAGTCTTAGCTGAAGTACAGTGTGACTAGTATAGAAAACTTTGGCATTTATTATGTTCATTCGTAAGACAGGATCCTATGCTCTATGGTGGTTAGTTCTGATTCATCGCGACCCTACAGGATAGAGTAGGTAATGTTGTGAGTCAGGCTTTGAGCTGCTAACCACAAGGTCAACGGTTCAAACCTACCTGCAGCTCCATGGGAGAGAGATGGAGTAGGCTGTTCCCTTAAAAGATTTAGTATCAGACCACAAGGTCGTCAGCGGTTCAAACCCACCAGCCTCCCCTTGGAGACCCTATAGAGGATTGCTATGAGTCGAAATGGATGGACAGCACTTAACAACAATGTTATACAAGGTCACTATGAGTTGGATGGAAATGACTTGATGGTAAGGGGGCACTTTTACGGCTGTCACAGCTTTCTGCCATGGAATGGCTGGTAGGTTTGCAATGCCAACTATTCAGTTAGCAGCTGAGCACTTAAACCACTGTGTCACCAGCACTCCTTCTCACTTGCTTTAAAAAACCCACTGCCATCAAGGTGATTCCAACTAAGCAGTCCATCATCCACATAGAATATGGTTGTGTTTCAGAAGTTAGAATGGATCAATCTTGTCATGGAAGTCAAAGGCATCAGCAAGCAGTTATATGCTGAATCATACTGGAAACACATAGTTTTTCCTCATCGATCTATATATCAGGAAAGGAGGGCATGTGGTGTAGTTGTGAAGTGCCTTCGAGCTGGTTCCAGCTCATGGTGACCCTCTGTGGGGTTTCCTAGAAGCAGCTGGTGGGTTTGAACCACTGACCTTGAAGTTAGCAATCCAGGGACTTATCCTACAGCACCACACCAAGACTCCAATGATTGTAGTGTTAGATAAAGAAAAACATTAACACTTTCATCCAAGAGCAAAAACACTAGGAAATACTTACATGTTCTTGAAATAAACAGAATTCTTGCACGCATAGCTGATCCCAAACCCTACCTTCATGTTGATTCCAACTCAGAGCATCCCTGTATGTAGGATTTCAGATAGTATAAATCGTTACAGAAGCGGACATCCTCCTCTTTCTTCTGTGGAGCAGCTGGTGGGTTTGAGCTGCTGACCTTGCAGTTAGCAGTCTCATGCTCGTGTTGTTGTTTGTTACATGCTCTTTAGTCATTTTGGACACCTAGTGACCCTGTATGGGGTTTCTGAGGCTGTACATATCTTTGTGGGAGCAGAAAGTCTCATCATTCTCCCATGGAGCGGCGGACGGACTTGAACTGTCAACCTTGTAGTTCACAGTCCAGTGCTTATCCTACAAAGCCACCATGTTCCCCCCAGAGCTTATAGTGGGATAAAATAATGGGAGAGAAATAGTTTATTCCAAACACGACTAATTACCAACAAAAACAAAAATTCTGATTTCTACTGTCAAGTAGGTTCCGACCAAGAGTGACCCTGTATAGGATTCCCTAGGAGCAGCTGGTGAGCTTGAACTGCCGACCTTGCAGTTCAAACAGACCTTGTAGTCCATTAACCTAGAGCACCACCTCCAGGACTCCAAAGTACTAATACCTTTAATATTCAGTATGCCTTTGGAAGGCAATATGTTTAAACTTTCTGTATTAAACAGTATGCTTTGGCTTAATTATAAGGAGTGACTGTGAGATTTTTAGAACTGAATTTTTAACCAAATATACTCAAACTGTGTATACAAGTGAGTTGTTGTTGCTGTTGTGTGCCATTGTCAATTTTGACTCAGTGACCCTACGTGTCGGAAGAACTGCTCGAAAGGGTTTTCTAAGCCATTACAGGCGTCCTGCTGTGGCGCTGTGGGGTAATGCGCTGGACTGCAAGGTCAGTTTGAACCACAAGGTCGGCGCGGTTCAAACTTACCAGCCGCTCCTAGGAAACCCTACACAGGGTCGCTATGAGTCAGGACTGACTCGATGGCACATAACAACAACAACAACAATCTTTACAGGAAGATTATCAGTTCTTTCTCCTGCTGAGCTGCTCAGTAGGTTTAAACCATCAAGCTTTCGGTTAGCTAGCAGTAGGGAACTTACCCATTGCCCATTAAAACAGTGACTTTGAAGTAATGACACTGAACTGAACTGTATTTCCAGATTGTGCTATCACTGTTCAAACAGTTTTGACTGCTCTTTTGGAATCACCTTTAGAGATACTTTACAAATAGAAATCAATTTCATAAATTTATAGTTCTGAATTAAAAAAAATCCCAAACAGTATTGCTTAGTTTGATCAACCATATATATCATTGATTATTCTAGGTTTATATTACTTGGGGCTTTATACCATAACAATGAATCAAATTTGTTTTCTACAAGCAGAGACTTGCCAACGGGAGGGATATTTTGAAAACTGGGCCTTATTCTCTAAAGTCCCAAAAGAAGTTTTCAATTTTTTTGTGTTAAAACGCTCACAGCTTTGATGTGATAAAGAAGACAATTCTCATTTGAATGTACGAATCCTGATTTGTTTTTTTAAGTAATCATTTGCTTTAGACTCTATACTAGCAAATTAAACTGAATTTGAATTCTCATCAATGAGCCTCCCAAACGGGACAACAGCTTCAATTCAAAATGTAACAAATTTAATTTATCCTATTCAGAATTTATCACTTTCAAAAGTGTTCACTACCACTACAGTGTTATCTACATAGCAAGAACATGTAGGTTAGGCTCAACCAAGGCTGTCAGCTATTGGCTAGACACCTACTGGCTCTATAATAGCTGAGTTCTTCAAACCTCTGAAGAAGCATGTGGGGTACTGTGGGTGGGTTGGGGTTGTGTGTGTGCATGTGTAATGTGTTGTGGAGCCGGTGGAGGTAAAGAGGCAATAGCAATAATTAAAATCATTTAAATTTAAAAATATTCATTTCCTGCACAACTGATCAACTATCTGCATAATAGGAAATGACTAACCTGATAGAAAGAATGGAAGCTTCTTTCTCCAGACTGCTGTACAATCACTCGAGACTAGGGAAAAAAATGGCATGAAAATAGTTAATCTGAAAACATGCATCTAAAAGAGAATGGAAGTCCCTTTCTCAGGGAAGCCTGTATCTAGACCATATCACCATGAATTGGAACTGACTCCATGACACATAACAACAACAACAAATGGTCCAAAGACAGTACTCATCTAAGATGATAAAGGTCTTCCCTATGGGGTTTTCTGAGCAATTTTGGGGGTAATTTTTTTTAATAATGCTTAAAATACAGGTGTATAAATTTTCTGACTAATGAAGCTGTTTGTATCGATTTAATTTTAAACTTACAGTCTACATATGGTGCTTTCTTGGGGATGGATGTGTGACAATATGAAGGAATGCTTACAGAGAACACTCTCAACCTTCCCTTGTTCTTCAGGGTCTGTTGGTATTTCAGAGAGCAATAGCTATGCCCTATAATTAAATCAGTTGAGCAAGATCAGCCTACAGGGACCCTTGCCTTAAATAGTTCTCAAAGCATTGCTATTAAGAGAGCTCAAATCGTATGTTCACTCAAAGGGATCCTTTGGATTGAATATATGTATAAAGTAAAACCATCAAACACTTTAAAAAAGATAAAAGAGACTGATGATGTCTGACCTTTCCTGTCCTTTTTCAACTGATAGATAAAATACTTAAGTCCATAAGAGTATGACTCTGAATTAACAAACAGTGATAGCGGTTTATTGCATTATACTGCATGTAGTGGGATGGGATGGCACGATGGGCAGGCGAAGCCCTATGAACTGAGAAGGCACGTCAGTTTGATTCTCGGCACAATTCAAGGTGAAGACTTGACTTCGTAACGTCTAGTCTAAATAACTTTACAGATCTGGTGCATGGACACTCTGAGCTTTCTTACAGTCAGGTCCAATGATAATTAAGATTAATTAGGACTTGCTCTCTGATAGTCATAAGAGGGACATTTTGATTGGAATCTTCTAAAAATCTTGCTTATCTGATCATATAGGCAGATAAAAAACACATTCAGTTCTCACTAACGAAATGCAACAAACTTTACAAGAAGGCTGTAAGACTACAAAATGCCAATATAATACTATAAGCAAGTAGATATTAAAAAAAAATGAGAATCCACATTAATTTAAATAAAAATATGAAATATGCAAATGTGTAAAAAGAGTAGAACTGATGGGGCTTAGATTGATTTTTGGACCAACCTCACCCAGGGATTGGCTCACACTCACATACCACACCTACTCCACAAAACAAGCATACATACACTTGTATCTTTATCTACAAAGTCTGCAACTTGTTTCAACTTGACATTGTAAGTGCTAATTAGAAAATACACAAAATTGAGTATCTTTTCATAGAAAAATAATTGAGTAACAGGAAAGGATGGAGGATAAGCTACTTTAAAGCAATAACAAATTCTATTTAAGTATATCCCATTTTTTAACATTCAGAATACATGAAAGTAAGCACAGTTTACCTTCTCCAGTAAATAGTTATTGATATGACCACCAATAGGGTCTCCTTTGAAATCAAAGTTGATATCCATATATTTTCCAAACCTGCTTGAGTTATCATTACGGTTGGTTTTGGCATTTCCAAAAGCTTCTAAGACACAGTTGGACTTAAGCAACATATTCTTCACTCTTGAATGCAGATAAATAAAAGTTATTGTAAAATGTTTTCAAGATCAGACTTTAAAAATACTGGATGCAGTTAAAACACACACAAATATTTGTACAAGGAGGCTGATCGTAGCAATATGAAACAATTACACGGAAATATTCACCAATAGGGATGGAAAAAATTGTTTTGTTTCTCAACGTAAAATGAAAAGCCATACAAGTACTACAAAGAATGAGCTGCCTCAATATACATGGAGAGAAAAAGCTATGCAGGATTGAGTAATGAAGGAAACATCTAGTTGCAAAATCATACGTATGGCAGGAGCCTTATGAGGATGAACAGTTTAGAAAGTGTTCAGTATCTTCTCGGAAGCTATATGCAATCTCTGCCTTCTATTGGTTATTTAATGCATTACTTTCTTCAACAAGTGCTAATTTTTTGTAGAGCAATCTCTCCAGGCTGCTGTTGTTTTTAAGTGCTGTCGAGTTGGTTCTGACCCATAGCGACCCTGTATAGAGTCTCTGAGGAGCGGCTGGTGAGTTTGAACTGCCAACCTTGCGGTTTAAAACAACTTTGCAGTCCAGCACATTAGCCTGCAGTGCCACATTAAGACTCAAGCTCTCCAGGCAGAGACATTTTAATTTCATACTAGTCCATACAGTCATCTTTCATTTCATATGTATAAATTCTTCAGCAGACCGACAGAAATAACTTTGGCCACAGAAAGAACCTGATGGGGCGGATCCACTGTCACTCTCATCACTACTGCAGTGACCCCATGACCTATCACCCCCTCACTGAGAGTGTACTTTTAAAACAGAGACTTTAAAAACATCCTGTTGATTATGTGAAATGACAACTATGTATGGTAAACAGAGGGAACTGCCTATGAAACTCTGGTAGATGTGCTTTTGAGAGACTGGTAAATTTACATATGCCTTATTCTCTACAATGACAATTGGATTCAGAAATGAAATTAATTTAGTTCTCAACTACCTATTCTCCTGGGGCTCCTGAGAAAATTAAGAAAATGTACTGATGTCCTTGTCCTTGTCAAATCAGATGGCAAAGTCTGAATCAGAATGGGGATTTGTCACAATTAAGAAAAAACTTCTCTTGAACTTGGCAATCCAGCCCAATTATGATGAAAAGAAAAAAAAAATCCATGTAGGGGCGTATAATCCAAACCCTCACTGTTTCCTACCAATCCACTAGGGTCCCTCACTTCACGTTATTCAAACTGAAGGTTGTGGTGTGTAGTGAGGAGCGACCTCCTCAGTGATGTGATACTTCATAATAACTCAGTTATGATACTTTATAGCCACATTTCCTTTTTAACCTCCATTCATTTCTTGCACATTTATTGGTTGTTGGCATGCACGGTAGAATAAGCAGTGGGCTGCTAACCACAAGGTCAGTGGTTCAAACACACCAGCCACTTCTCAGAAGTCCTACATGAGGTTGCTGTGAGTTGGAACCAACTTGATGGCACTTAACAACAACAACAAACTGCTACATGCCGGGCCCCAGAAAGTACACACCAGCTTTATTACTCATCCCACTGTGAGGAACAACATAGCCTGGCATGAAACCCTGTTAGAAAATGAAATCTTACTGAGCACTAATGTCAGTGGGGTGTCCTGGTATAGGATAAGCACTGGACTGAAAGGTTGGTTTAAACTACAAGGTTGGAGATTCAAACCCATCAGCCACTCCTTGGAAACCCTATACAGGGTCGCTATGAATTGGAACCGACTCAACGGCACAACAACAAAACAGTACCAGTGTGGTCTGTTAGAGCAATGATGGGAAGGCATGAACTGCCTTCCAGAACCACCCCCCACTGTCACTCTAGACAACTTGGGGCTTAACAGAACACTTAACAAAAAACACTAATGCACTCGTCAGAGCTTGGACAATAAAAACTGAGGGCCACAGGAGAATGAGGACACTAACATGTGTTTCAGAGCAACTACATTTTTTTCTAATTAAGTGAAGTTTATTATAGTAGTATTTTACTCTTAAAACTAGACACAGAAATAGATATACTGATATAAATAAAAGTATGGTGACAGTACCCAACCAGAGAATCACAGTCGCTCCATCATCAGTAAATGCTCAAGACCCCTGAGAATTTAGGCTAGCCTTGTCTATAAAGCAAATGGAGCTCTACTCCAAACCTGTTCTCACTGTCAGTCTGCTCTTACCTTTCCACCTCTGCGCGCTGGCTGGGGTTGGTGATGGCCGCAATGTACTGCATGATGTACTTACTGGCTTCCGTCTTACCGGCTCCGCTTTCCCCTATGGGAAAATCGCACAGCACTTAGCGTGGCAGTGTAAACCAAGAGGACATGAGCTTTCCCTAGGGTAATTTAAGATTTTGATGTCATTCATTTCAAGTCCCTTTTGTTGCACTGCTTCAACTTTTGCTTTTTGAGTCATTGTAACCTGTCTTCATATGGATGGTTCTAGCAGATTTAGAAAACATAAAAACTACAGTGGAAGTAAAAGAACGTAGACTACAAATCAAGATGACTTTGCCAAAATTTACGGGGGCATAAAAAGTGATCTGAGTATTTTGGTAGTTGTTGTTAAGTGCTGTTAAGTTGGTTTGGACTCATAGTGATCTATAGCGTCTCTGAGGCTTTAGATCTTTGTAGGAGCAGAAAGCCTCATCTGGCAGACAAGAAACATGCTAATGATGCAACCAGTGACCCCAGGTAATTCACATAGCTTTAGTTGTCACAGCAGAATTTTTTTCAGTCTTAAAAGAGATGTAGTTTTTCTGAAATTAGAGTAATTTTAGAACCAATTTGACGGCAATGAACTACAACAATATGATTATACTCGTATACTTAAATGTGGCATGACTACATATATTTATGTTCATAGAGAAAATGCATTAAAAAATTAAACACTAAACCTTTAATAGATGTTATTGGAATTTTGAGTGGAGCAAGGTATTCAAGAGGAAGAGATTTCATTTTTACTTTTATGCGCTTATGCAATTGTTTGTTTTCTTTCTATTCAAAAAACCCCGTAATACTGTTTTTGTAATATTTTAAAACAGAATGTAATCCTATGATATACTTCTCAAACTCCAACACTAAGTTAAGACACCTAACGTCTCTGAACCTAAATTTTCTCATCTATAAAGTAAGAAAATTTACCACTCAGAGTTGTTTTGATAACCCAAATGGGATAATGACCATAAAAGCATTTTCAAAAGTAGAAAAACACTAATGTAAATGAAGTGTTTTAGCACCAAAAGATTTTTTTCTTATTCCAATGTTGTATTACCTGAGAAGCTTTGAAGAACTCAGCTGTACACAGATGGATAGTTCAGGTCTGTTTCTCCATCACATGGAATCTCTGGACTGTCTTTCTCCTCACTGGGCCTCAAATTCCCCTCCCCTCCAGCCCCGGCCCTATTTCTGGTCCCGATACTTCAGTAAGCTCCTCATTTCCTGTTCCTATTCACTCACTCAACTTTGAGTTCATTCTTCATCTTTGGCACCTGAGAATTTCATTTTCTTGATTCTATTCTGTTGTTATTAAAATATTTGTGATTACACTTTCTCCAGTACTTTTGAGTTTGAAATGGGAAGAGGTATTTCCCATGTCAACTCAGTATATAACATTGTCCAGAAAAGCACCATCCAAGTGTATTGTACATGAACCAAAACCAAGAGGTGATCAGAACTGATAAAAAAAGAATTGATATTTTTATATTCATTACATTTTTCTTGTATAAAATTGCTTAAGTTGCTACTAAAATAAAATTGAGTCAGTAGTTCGGATCCTTGAGTACCAAATAAGTTAAATACATTGTGTCCTTAGAAGCCTAGGGGACCCCCTTGAATACCTGATATCACAATGCAGGTGTCTTTTGATCGCCTTTTCATCGCCTTGTAAGCAGCATCCGCAATCGCAAAGAGATGAGGCGGTTTCTCATACAGCTCCCGTCCCTTATACTGCTCAATTGTGTCTCTCCCATAGATGTTCAACAACTTGTAAGGATTCACAGAAACAACGACTTCGCCAATGAAGGTGTAGATGCGTCCCTTTTCAAATCTGGACAGAAGCGAAAGAAAAGGAAGACCTAATTGTGGTTGTATGACAATGCCATTCTTCCATGTGATTCTCTTCTCTCTAAGCATGTCCACATATTCCCGAGACAATTTCTGAATGGGCATTTCATTGGATCTGAGTTTATTTTTGGAGCTAATACTTATGGCTGTGTCCCTTGAGATGCTGTCAGTAAAAAAGACTAAACCAAACCCAAGCCAAACCCAGTGCCACTGAGTCGATTCTGGTTCAGGGTGACCCTGCAGCAAAGGATTTCTGAGGCTGTAATCTTTACAGGAAGAGAAAGTCTATTCTTCCATGCAGCGGCTGTTGTGTTTAGACTTGCAGTTAGCAGTCCAGTGCTTATCTGAGACAGAAAGAAGGATTAAGAGGCTGGGGATTTTCTGTTTCTGGAATAGAGAATGGTAGGAAGAGGAGGAAATTAAAATAGTGCAAGACAACCTAGGAACACTAGCAGTAAAGGAAACAGGAGTTAATGTAGTTCTTGAAATCCACTTGGCTAGATAGTCAATTACCATGAGGATTGTCCACATATACTGATCTCTCCTCTCTCCTGAAGCCCCACTAAAACTATCTGTAAAGGGAACACTACCAGAGAAATCCTAATGATAGAGACACTGGGAGGAGATGCTCTTGAGAGACCAGATTATTTTTACTGACAGCGTAATATTCAACGATACAAATACACCATGATTTAGTCACTATTCCCTTACTTCTCTGTTACAACTAACATGCAAGAAAACATTCTTGAAACATAATCTTATAAACCCGTGTTTAGTATTTATGAAATATATTTGTGGGACAGTTGGTTGAAAGGTATACACATTTTAAAAAGTATATAGAACAAGATCGCATTTCCCCCCCAAAGCCAATGTTACAACCCCACTCCATATGTATTTGTATGTCCTGGTATGGTGCTTTAAGATCAACACAAGACTGCTAACCATAAGGTCAGTGGTTCAAACCCACCAGCCACTCCCTGGAAACCCTATACAGGGTCTGACTTGCAACAACAACATGCAACTCACATAAGCATGAAAAGATATGGAAGAGTATGTGCTCTGGCTTATACACCATTTACTACACGCAGTGGAGTGACATGGATGGAGGGAAATGAGGAGAGAGGCAATGGGGATGGTTGGGAGGATGGTCACAGAAACAAAACTTATAACAAATTTAAACCCAGAATGTATGATACTATTACATTTGTGCAAAATTGTGATTATACATTTCTAAGAAAAAAATATAAAATTTAAAAATTCCCTGCATGGTCATTCTTTACACAGCTGCCCATGTATATACACATTTCCCTTTTGAGGAAGGGGCACAAACCAACAGATCTCACACCTCCAAGAACGAGCGACGAGGGCCACAGCACAGGAAAATAAAGGCCCATGTCTCTACACACACCTGTTGTTTGGACACTTGAAGCAGGGACCAAAAATCAAGAACCTAAAACTTCCTTTGAAGTTGGAATGAAGGTTGTAGGCTATAATTAATTAGTGGTGGAAGTAAGAAGATGCCGATAATGCCAACAATAAATTAAAACTGAGGTTTTTAGCAGCTAATTAGTCTGTATTTATAACGGAGTTAAAGTTTTCTCTACATTTCCTCACTGTGGTTTCCTTATGCATTTTACATATTTCTAGAAAGTATGCTCACATGGTAGCTAAAATCACTGACTTTATAGAGTCCCTGGCAGCTGAGTGTTAAGGCTCACAGCAGTGAGACCTTGGGGAAGCTACTTCACTTCATGTAGTTCAGCTTCCTCAGCTGTAAAATGATGATAATTATACTCTTCTGGGTCTCTGGCATTGAGTAAGTACCTTCCAGTTATATTATGCATGGAGAGTTTTAATAAGTGCTTTTGTTTGTAGTAACACTGCTACTTCAGTCACAACTATCTCTACAAGAGAGAACTAAATTTGGTCATCATACCTCTGCTCCCTGCCTCAGCTGTCAATCAACCACAAGTCACAATTCCTTTTAAAAGACTCACAAAAATAACGACAAGCTAACATTCGTCAGCCTAGCTTTCCCACCTTAACCTGTGAACTTGTGGGACATGCTCAGTCCTTCAGAGTAAGAATTACAGCCCAAGATCATTTAGTTTCAAAACGTACTGTCCAAACAGAAAAATAAAACAGAAGAAGGATGTTAGGAAAACAAAACAAAACAAAAATTACCTCATGTTCCTGACGTAGACAGAGCAAATAACTTATGAGATTAGAATGGAAGGTTCTAGATCTGTTCAATCATGTTCTTACTTTCTCACTGGATAATGTCAAGAGATACTAATAGATCACTCTTCTCTAAAATGCCATTTTATTTTAAATAAAATAAAATGAGACTCATCATGTTTGCAAAACAACTCATATGTATAAAATCACCAGACACATAACTGTAAACTTGATTGATATATGGTGGCAAAGTTACAACAAAAAATAATATTAAAGACAGCACTTCAGCCACTTCTACAGCAATGGACGCTGCTCTCACTTGAACCTCACTCAACCTTTGGTTAGCAAAAATGAAACATTTAATTTAGTTCAGTGTTAAAATCACCACTAGGTGGCGCCCAATTTACACTTTAACACCAACGCAAGATTTCGATTTGCTTTGAACTGCTGTATGAAACATGCATTAAGGAGCTGCAGTCCTGAGCGTTGTTTGCCTCAGGGTGGAAATGCATTTGTCATTATCTTAGATGATAAATGGGAGGTAACCAGCTCTTACCTGAGAGCCAAGGAAGATGTTTCTATGACCTCTGCGTACAAACCTTTTATGTCAAGCTTTTATAATTCATTCTTCAAACATTTATTCAATATCTACCTTGTGCCACACACTGGCCCTGACCCAGGGAATTAAAGGAAAGAGAAAAGCACAGGGAAGTCTTTTAAATAAATAATAACAATAAGGTACAATAAGTAAGGTAATAAAGCAGATACTATGGTGGCAAAGGGGACCACAACAAACTACTTTCATTGAGGAGCCCCAGAGAGTAACAAACTCTTAGCAAGACACACCAGGACTTTTGTATTCTGACCTCCACACACATTTCTCCCTGCTTGACTGTACTGTAATTATTACTAACAGTTACCACACACATACACACACAATCGGAGTCCTGGTGTGATGCTGTGGGTTAATGTACCAGATTGATAACCATTTGAACCACAAGGTTGGAGGTTCAAGCTCACCAGTAGCTCCTCGGAAACCCTATACAGGGTCACTGTGGGTTGCAACTGACTTGACGGCACTTAACAACAAACCCCCACATATACACATGTGCACACCCACACACACTCTCTTGCTCGCTCCCTCCTTCCACTCTCTCTCTTATTAATGAGCAACTCCTGGTGTGGTGCTGCAGGATAATGCACTGGACTGCAAGGTTGGCAGTTCAAATCCACCAGCCACTCCCTGGAAATCCTATACAGACTTGATGGCACATAACAACAACAACCACAATACAGTTCCCAAGTGAACCATGTCTTCACAATCTTGCCCATGGGGTTTGTGTGACCTAGAATACCCTTCCCCAGTCTCGTCATCCCCATCGGCTTGGCGGTTTCACTCATTCTTCAAAAGGCGTTCCTCTGTGAGGGTCGTTCTTGATACCCCATCTCCAATATCAGTGATATGATCTTGGCTCCATTCAGGATCTTCTTCCTTTTATAGGTATTTAGTGCCATTGAGTTGGTCTGACCCATAGTGATCCTGTACAGGGTTTCCAAGGAGCAGCTGCTGCTTGAACCACTGACCTTGCAGTTCATATCGATTTTGCAGTCCAGCACATTAGCCCATGGTGCCACACCAGGACTATTTTTTCCTTTTGGTGGTGGTGGTGGTATGCCGTGGTGTTGTTGATTCCATCTCATAGTAAGTCACCCTGTGTAGGGTTTCCAAGGCTGTAAATCTTTATGGGAGCAGAAAGCCTCATCTTTCTCTTGTGGAACGACTGGTAGTTTCAAACTGATAACCCCTGAGGCTAGCAGCCCGACTTGAAACTGCCTCTCTACCAGAGCTCCTTCTTTTTCCTTTCAGAACTTCCCAAATACTTAAAACAGCCTCATAGCAATGAATTCTTTAAAAGTTAATTTAAGAAGTTTAAAAATACCTGTTGGGCCAGGTAATTTTGTTCACTTCTGAATGAAATAAAGAGTTTGTAAAACATTTTGAGTTTATGAATAGCAAGAAGAGTAGACATAAAGGTAATAACTTTGAAGAACAGTCATTTGAAAATGAAACATTATTTATTTGAAGTAGCTTCTTTAATTTGTATATGTAACATATAAAACAGCCCTGGGAGTATAGTGGGTTATATGGTGGGCTGCTAACCGCAAGGTCAGCAGTTCCAATCCACCAGCAGCTCCTTGGGAGAACGACGAGGCTTTCTGCTCCCGTAACGATTTGCAGCCTCCGAAGCCCCACACAGGGCTGCGGAGTCAGAATGGACTGGAAGGCACACAACAGGTAAGTGAGACGGATGGAGCTCCTTCAGATCAGCAGGGGCTCACTAAGTGTAGTTAACTACTCCAATACAGAGAAGTGTAAGGAGTGAGCTGCAGGAGACACAGATGGCTGCATGTGAAACCGTACTTGTGAATTCAGGGCAAATTATAGGCTAACCATGGGTTTAAGTCTGAAGGGAGACCCAGAGAAGAAGGCTTTTGCTAGGGTATGTCAGCAAACAGCTAGAAAATTGGATGGCACCTGATTTGATACAATATGATAAGTGTGAGATGGTATTTCTTTGTTAGCCAGGTTGAAGAAGTTTAAATTTGATGTGACTGGAAACAAGTTACCAAGGAAGTCTTTTCTAGCTAATGATATCAGTGGGGCTTTAACACAGATGTCAGGGAAGGGGAATTAGAGCTATTTCAAAGGGAAACTGGAGAGAATGTGAAACACTGAACATAAGGAATGAAAATATTATCTGAGATGGGTAGAAGAGAAAAAGGAATCCATTTTAGATGATGAGA